GGGGGGGGGTGCAGGACACAACCCTCATTCCCAACTTCTCGCATAGAATGACCAAAACTTTGGAAATAATTCGTCATCTTCAGCACTGGCATTTAATAAAAGTATGCCGAAAAATCACATGGGGCCGCTTATATCATTATACGTTTATGTGTAATTTAAGGCAGAGATATATAATTATCAAGCTCCCTAATAACTTCCGTCGCACCTCTTGACAATCACCACATCCCCCTTGACAATCACCACATCCCCCTTGACAATCGCCAAGATGCAAGCCGGTCTGTGATGAGCATCAGAAACATCACATCTACAGCCAGGCAGGGGCAACTCAAACACGTTGGGGACTGACACAATGACATATTATGGTGGTCCACACAGCCATGATTCGAGTTAACTGATAACAACCAATCAAAGAGATAATAATTAGGCTACATGCGGGGAATGGCAAATTCAACGAGTTGTCCGTGAGTGCGAGTTTTCCGTGTTCATATCTGTACCTGACTCTACTATAATCATTTGTGTGAGGCATCGTGGTGAAATCAGGCACGCGTCAAAATAATGAAGTCAAAGAAATCAGAATTAAAAAAAAAGAATTTGGCTGACGGGCAATTAAAAAAAAAAATTCTTCTTTTTTTTTGTTGGCTAACACTTTTTTATGCCCATTTAAAAACACATTTTTGTGCGGATTTAACTGAAAATCATAGAAGGCCCCCCAAAAAGTAAATTCTAAGTTTCCATGGACTCTCAGGCTATGAAAGTTACCAAACTTTGGCAGCTATTTTCTCACTAATTTTACCTCTGAAGCCAGGCAACCCTGACCTACTTCAATTGCAAATATTTCGACTTCTATTCAACATAGAAGGATATTTTTTTCACCAAAAAGAAGGCAAATGAGCAGGCTTTTTAAAGATGATACCATAACCCCATATGCCCAACAATTGACTGCGTCGTGGTGATTCTAAGCTCTGCTCTACATTTAAAAAAAAAATCTTTTCTCAGGTTTATGCTGACAAAGATCGCTGACCGGTGACCAGCGGATGCTTTCTGCTAAAAAAGATACGACGTTCTATTTCCATTCTCCAAAGCAG